TTTTTTTTCATTTTCTATTTTTGTTTTATTTATTTCTAGAGGGAATACTTGAATTTCTCAATTGAAGACGTAGAGATTTACTTCACATCAGTTAAATTCCAGACTCTTGCTGACAAAAGTTAGATATTAACCGGCGACAGAATTTAATCATGCACCGGAGCAACACTAGGTGTTAGAGGGTTAAGCAGGTACAACAAATAAATCGCTCGTAAAAGCGTATCAACTGCTACCCGTATGGGACATGTGTAGGTACGCACATTTTGGACGGTTGGCTGTGTGGAGATCTGAGCGTGATCGTGAAGGATATGAAACACGTCTCGCAATGTCGTCGCTGTAGCAATGGCCGCGTCATAAATCGGGGAATGAAAAATTGTATTACTGGGAACCGCAAAAACGGTGTATATGTATCGCGATGACGAGAGTTCCAGGAGCAGGGAGGGGACACGACATAACCGCCGACCGAATTTTACGAGGTCGTTTGCTTCCTGTGTGCCCGTGTGGTCGACGAAGCTGCAGGTGATGGGTTCCTAGAGACCGCCCCCGCTCCCCCTCAACAGTCGGCGAGTTGCGGCCGCGACCGCACACAATTAGACACCTGCGAGAGGTTGCGCAGACATTGCTTGTAATTCCGAGTCATTATCTCCTGTCTTTGAAGACGGTTTCCTCGCGAAAACAGCGACGATGTACAGTACCGGACGAATGTATTTGTACACACTTTAAAATGGAACAATTTTTTTTAAATTGGTCCAAAAGACTTGAGTTTCTTTGTGAAGTTAGGGACATTAGTGTACTAATTGATGTGTGAAAAACAATGGAAAAGGTTGTTTTTTACAACTTTTTAATATGAGGCTATAATGAAAAGTTAACCCTTTGGGTACATTTGACGAGTGAGACTCGTCATCTGCTTACTTGGGCAAAGTTACGATGGACAAGTCTGACTCGTCATCTGCATTTAAGAAGCAGGCGTTGATGTTTATGTTATAAACATAAAATAAGAAAAGAAACCACTTGGCAATGCAAACAATGCCAGGTACCTTTGCATTTACCGATATGTTTTGAAAAATACCACACGGTACAAAATTATTAGACTTTAAGTTGGTTCTTGTTCTATATAAATATTTCTATTTTGTTTCATTTATATATTCATTTACATTTTGTAACTAAAATGCTGTTTCAAAAATATATTTATATCACCAATATAAGTATATTCCAAATAAAATGTATTACTTTTACATATTAATCCATATAGCAACAAATTAAATACGTCCCATGGGCATAGAAATCTTCAAATAATTCAGTACTCAAAAACTTAATAAACACATATTGAAGATTTATGTTAGGTATACAGTAGACTCTAACTATAATGCCACTGAAAATAATGCCACATGAGTCACTACCCCTTCACACGTACTTTCGCGCATACACATTCGCTCTCCCACCATGTTGCGTACGCCGGCGCACCAGCACGATTTAGCTTTTGCGCAGGTGCTGAGGCCGACGCCAAGGGACACAACTTAGCATGGGGGGGGGGGGCTCGAAATTTAATGCCATTTTACTCTCCTAGAGCCCCGAAAGTGGCATTAAGTTTAGAGTCTACTGTATACATACTGAAACTTTAATTGAAATCGGTTGATACAGAACGAGCGACAGGCATCAAAAGATGTAAGAATTGTTAGATTTACTACAGTTGTAGGTCGAAAGTCGGGAAAAACTGTGATTTTCAACATTTCGATTTTGATGAAATTTTCAACATGTATATAACTAATATAAACCTTCGATATGTATTTATTAAATTTTCATTATAGCCTCGGATTAAAAAGTTGTAAAAAACAACCTTTACTATTGTCTTCGCGATTCCGACCAATAGCAACTTTTTCCATTTTTTTTCACACATCATTTGGTAAACTAACTTCACAAAAAAACTCAAGTCTTTTGGACCAATTTTAAAAAAATTGTTCCGTTTTAAAGTGTGTACGACTACTTTTGTCCGGCACTGTATATACAGGGTGTTAATAAAAATGTGGAACACCTTCACAAGGTGGTGGTGTACTAAATTAAGACAAAAATCAGGAATGACGAAATTTCGAAGCTTCCGTTCACAGTTATTAATTCGTTGCCTGAGTTTTTAACTGTTCTAATTCCATTTTTCAAACGAATTTAGTTAATCGATCTACGTACGTCTCATAGGTCGAAAGAGTAGGAATTCACCATAATATAAAGCAAAATTCAACCTAGAAAACAACAAATATTCTTTTAATCGTAATTCTGATACTTTTAAAGTTTTTCTTTTCTTAATGGTTGTATCTCTAAATATTAATAATAATTAACAATTTATGTTGATAATAAAATAAAATTTTGTTAAGTATTGGGATAAATAGCTATTCAGTAAATGATTTATACTGAGTGTGTTTGATTATTTCATTACTTGCCTCGAAAGCAATGTCGTCATACTTGATTTTAGTTTTGTATGTTGAATTCATCCGGTGAAAGTGTCGCACGCATTTATTAACACCCTTGTGTATACATGTTCCACCCATGGAAAGAGCCTGTCGCGGTGTCCATCGAATCAGAGATAAGATAAGGAATAAGGGTCCAGAGACCGTCCCAGTATCCCGTGAAAATTAGGCGATTTTCCGTTAACGGCGTGTCTCAACGTCGATTCGAGATTTCGACTTTAACCTTTATCCCCCCTGGCGGGTAACCCCAAATCCAACTTCTCTGAGATTAACGAGGGCCCAGCTTTGATCTCGAAATCCTTGCCCAGATAAGGCTCCCGATAATACAGTTGGATAGCAAAAAAGCTATTTAACGTTTTTTTCTTTCGAAAGACAGTCTAGTTGAGCCTAGAGAGTTGGGCTTTCATCGACTATCGGTAGTTGACGTGATGACAAACGACGGATCGTCGGTGGATAAGGGTCCTCGAAACTGGGCGATCAGATTAAAACTGGAATCGAGAAGTAACGTATAAGTAGTGGACCGTAGAAGCTACTTTTATTTGGGTGGAATGAATTGGCAGAATAAGTACAGTAAATCTATGATGAATATTCGAAGGTTCCTCGGCACTGACAAGTATAGGTTCTCAGGTGCAACGCTGTCTTGTTAATGAGGTTTAACACAGTGATAGAGCTTGGAATTCTGAAGTCAAGGATATTTGTTTCAGCCACAAATGGCCATTAGTTTATGAAATATTTAATGTTTAATGCCGAGGAGCTTTCGAACACACACTGATGATTTACTGTATATCTTGGCCGGGTCAAAACGATCTTCCGGTTTTGACTTCTAGCGTGATACACCTAATTTCCTTTTCCCCCATCGAGAAATGTCTCAGTCGGTCCACATCGTCGAGAAACGGATCCTTGTTCCAGAGAACACCGGTGTACCCGGCAACGGTTCATCAACCGATAATCGAACGTGGCACGGTTTCTTCCGTGAGGTCATCAGGCCGAGGTGCCGGAACGAAGGCATCCGGTGCAAGCGGAATAAAATTACCTGCACGCGAAACACCCTTCGAGATAGAAACACATAGGGCGGGTCTGGGTACGGGGGTTACTTTCTATCGAGCAACACATCCCTGCGGAATCGATGAAGGGTGAAAAAGGGAGGGGGGAGGGGGATGTGCGCGAGGAGTGGCAGCCTCGAAAGCTACTATTGGCGAAGAGAAAGGAAAGCAGCCGAGATAAATCTGTTTCCAGGCAGAAGATCATCGAAATTCCGAAGACGTAGAAGCCCGAGCAGGGATAGGAAGGTAGGATGGCCGCACGTAGGCAGATGCCGGGGAACCCGAAAGCAGATGGGGATTGATTGGCTCGTGTCTTCTGTGCTGGTGTAAAGGCAGCTTCGTCGACTACCGAGTACAAAGGGTCTTATGCACGCGCGCGCGCGCCCACAGAATCACGCACACACACGTCGATCGTGGCCACGTGTTTGTGCGCGCGGGGGTCGAGTCAACTGCGGGTAAACACCCGCCACGGCACTCGGTTACTCGTCACGCCGATGGAACGCCGCGGCTGTACGCCCTAGGTCACGCGTATCGTTGTGTGCACAGGATATGCGCGTGTGTGTATGTGTGGGGAGGAAGGGCGCGCGTATACGCACCGACGTGACGTATATAACGCGTCTGTCTGGTAAGGTACGCGCAAAAGTACACAGCGCTTGTATGTACACAGGGAGCAAACGGCGCCGTTCCGTTTCTACGAGGCGCAGCCAGAGGATGACGACGACGGTACATAGATATCCGCGTATCTACGTATCTATGTATATGCTTCTGGTAATTCACGCATACGCGTACACGTACACATTCTCCCGTGGGACGTAACTACACGTTCGCCCGAAACACTGCCGGTTATACACGCAGTACTACGAGGATATAGAGGCGCATAGATCATAGAGAACACATGTGCACGATGGAGCACGCACACGACACCGTGCATCAACCGCACGGATATATGGACGTAAGTGATAAAACAAGCACACACATATACATATACATATACATGCACAAATAACCAGCGTATTAAAGTACACGGACGCGCAGCTTGTGAGCACCGAGCACACAGAGATATCTCTCGGGTGTAAGTGTGACGAACAAGCTAAAAGAGTGGGTAGGGGTGGGGAGGTGGGAGAGGACAGGAGAGCCTGGCTGGCCGCTGGATGCATTTGGTGACTACCAGAGGGGACGTTGGGTCGTGCAGCATGGTAGCCAGCCGGTCGGTCGGTCGGTCGGTCTGATTGCGGACTTGCCTCCCTGCTACCACGCCCTGACCCACGCGATTTTCAAGATATCCGACACACGAGCCACGATAGGGTCGCTAGACTGTATACACGGGGTCAACCAACTCCGACCCCACGTCGTCGTTGCTACTGCTGCCTGCTTACTTCCCTTTCGGCGTCCGCCGCCGCCTTCGATACGCGCCCGAAAACTTTCCTCCGGTCGTCGTCGTGTACTCTGTTGTGTACCTAACTTAAATAGCCGCCGCCCGAAGATCAGAATAGAAACTTACCCGTGTCGTGATCGCCGGCGTATCGGTCGACGAGAGCTGGGCCAATGAGTCGCGGTGATTCATCTGAAACAAAACCACCGGGCACGCTTGTTAGATATTGGTCCCTCGTGTAACTCGAGGGTGCTCGATTTTGGAGACACTCGGGGGCAGGGGGGGTTGAAGTGGACACGCGTGTGAGGTTGAACGCGAGGGGAACGCATGGGAAATTATTATTTCGAGGGAATCCGATGTACGCGTGGAATATATTTTTTTCGTTTTAATAGATGAAACGGTGATTTTCCTTTAATCGTTGGAAGGTGGATGTATCTAGTGTTTGTACAGACAGCGCATTGTGGTGCAAAATCCCAGACACGTGGCAAATATTCGTTTTCTTTTAAAAAATTTATGCGGAAATATTGAAATACATCATACATTCTAATATAACTTTTAAAAGAAACTGACATCAAAAACAACTACAATATTAACTGTTTAAGACAAAATTTTGTTTCCATTTTTTTGTTGCTTTTGCGTTTAATCTTTAGAATTGTTAAGTTTTATCGTATAAATATTTTTTAATGCGATAAGTACTTTACTCTAAAGTAGAAAAATAAAAGAGATACGAATTTAGACGGTGATTATCTTTTTCTTTTGTTTATAAGTAAGGCCCTTCGAGTCCGATACATTTCTTTGTCTGTTAAAAATATACGTAAATATAAATATTACAATCCAAAGTTTTTACGACTTCCTTAGAAATTCGGTCAAAACGTTATTGAAAAACTGTGATTATCATACGTGTTCTTTTTTATGTCAGCAGTAAATCTTCACAATAACTTATAAAACAATGTAATCAATTGAAAAGAATAATTTTTTTTAAATCGTTTATCCCTGGCCCATTAATTAATTTTGTCCCATTATTTTATATAACAAAGCACAAAATATCACAATTTAACCATTAGGTACAATAGAAAACTCATTACTACGTGGCATGCGCCGAAATTGGTACATGGTTTGAAAACTGCTGCGAACCTGATAACAGAGTACAGAGGAATAATACAACAAATCCTTTTACATAGTGTAAATTGTCTCTTAATGACGTAAATGTCAGTCGGCGTGGAAATCGAGTTCAGCGTGTACCAAAAACTGTACACGTGACAGTGACCGTATTAACGAATCTTCATTCACGTAGCATCATAGATCACTGCATATTCAGTGCACAAGCGTTCTTTTATACTGTCGGTGCATTCGACTACGATTCTATGGGTAAAAGTTATCAGCTGGTTGAAAGGTTACATGTATTTGAAGTAAAATAATGCGGATTTCGAACTGGAATCAGAATTAACTAATTGTCAAAGCCTTGAATTACGTATAATATTTAAATTATTTAAGTATTTAAGTAATTTTAATAATTACTAATATATCCTTTGCATTTACGTTCAAAAACTTCTTACTGAATATGAATATTCTACTGGTAGAAGAACCATTTATAAAAAAAAGGAAACACACTCCAAAATCATTTTGTATTATCTTCAAGATGTACAAATTCCAATGAAATTGATGTTGTTTAATAACAATTGTTCTCACAAAGCCGAAGTTTACAATATAAGACTGACTTTGAATACCTACTCGAAACATGGTTGTCGAATATTTAACTTGTGCTTTCTTCGGAATCGTTCTGACGAAAATTTTGAAAATGTTAATTCTAATCCTAAGTTTAGCTTGTACCGAAAACGACAGTGAACGCGTTAAGGTGACGTGAAATTCATTCACTTTTATGGAGGGTACTTTTCGTTAACGTGTTGCGGAGATCAGAAATTCTATTTCCGTGAGATTCGTACGTTTTGATGAATACGATGAATCTGGAATTAACGTTGCAGGTTTAAGATAATGAAATTTCATCTTTCCGGCAAAATTTTTGCGAATACGCCGTAAAACTTTGACTTCCATTTATATGTATAGATCTTGAGGTTTTGATGCCCGACGAATGCTGGAAAGACAGTATACGACAAGGCTATAGAAAATCTTTCATCCTCTTGAGAAAACCGTTTCATTAATCTGGATATTCACTGTTTGATGGCGACCCTTGGTAAAGTATATTTTCTGTGTCCCATTTGTATAATATTCGCATATTTTGCATCGGATGCGCACTAAAAATGCATCTTCGCTATTTCTTCCACGGAAAGGACGTTTTCTTTTTGGAAAAATTTTCGGTGTGACACAAAATTGAAGAAATGTTTCCAATTAAACACGAAAAATCACGTTTAATAAAATATTTTTACCTGTTATCGCTAAGACTTGAGAAATTCGCATCATTTTAGGATATAATGAATAAAATTAATTATGATTAGTTAAGCATTAACCCTTGTGTACTATTCAAGTAGTTATTGCGTATATGTATATTTACTGGGCAACGATGACCTAAAATCAACATTGAATTACCGGAATTAATTTAGGTTGTATCTAGACAGTAATATGTATAAATCATCTGTATAGTATTTGTTTAATACATTATGTACCACAAACGATTAGCATAAATAAATGTTCCGTTTTGAACCAGGTTGACCCTGATGTGTCCGCAAAGGTTAAATAATACATCTTCATACGATGATTTTAATATATAAATATATTTTATTGTAGATTCATTAACATTAAATTATTGGATAAACCAATGTCGATAACCGTATACTGTTCATTATGCTGTCAATTATTTTTCATAATTGTATTATACCTGCAACCTCAGTCCACGAGTCATCGAACACTGGTAAATGCAGAATTAGAACGAATGTGCTACAAAATCACTTAAATCATGTTCGAGATCAATATCTTATATAAAAGTAAAATAAATTACTAATATTACTCGATATAATTGCACCTCTGTTAAATAACACGTGTCCAGTTAACTGATAAAAGGGGGTATTAATTATAGTGCACGATCCATATTTACTTCAGTTAGTATCTTATCCCATTATCTTATTGCATACGTGGAAACCTACTACGTATAGTATAATAATACTATTGGTAACAAGACCGACTGTGATTTACATCAACATTTTCTTCACGGTTTATTTTAACTGTTTCTCGTCGAGTGGTTTGTCGATATCACATTTTAACAATTTACGACGTACATACTGCTAAATCGATTACTTCAAGGGGCACTTTTAACGAACTACCTTTGAGTCATTCGAAACTGCGCAATTAATTGGCCGATTATTAGTTCTACGTTTTGGTAAATGAACGCTGTATCCATCAAATAGCTACGTTTAATCATACTTTTCATGGCGAACACAGTAACTGCTTGCATTGGCACCCTTTCCTTCGGCAAATTATGGACATTGCAAATGTTTAACAGACATTACGTTTACACGGTTCTATATTAAATTTCAATCAGGGTGTTTGAATATTGAGAGGTGACATTTTGTATAACGTTTGTTTGAAATACGTGGCTGCTTTATGACAAGAGCATTTATACATTACCTATTACATATTACTATTGTACTTCTGATCATAATTACATTGTAGTAGACTTGTTTGTTATAATACATTTTATGATTAAAATGATCTGAATAAATATAAAGAACAAAAACTATCTAGTATAGTTTATTTTTTACATAATCGTATTTTCTGTCACCCTTCTCTTCGTAAGAATATTAGCAGCTATTCAATCAGGTAATTCATACTGTTTTATTTTTCACATCAGAATTTTGCAAAATGGATGACAGAAGATTGTTACATCTAAAAAATTAATAGACGAAAATCTGGCGCATTAATATCCAGTAATTACTGTTCTAAATATACGAGGCGTCCCAAATACAAGTTTCAATATTTTAAGGGTGGTAGGGAGCTGAAAGATAACAAAGATGTTCTATTCTACCATGTCAGATTTTCTTCCGTTTTGCAGTAACAAAACCTTTAGTTTAACCTCTTGATATTACACAAACATTAGGTTTTCTAATCTCACAGGTTTATCAATGAATAGAAGTATAATAAAAATCCTCATACATTCAACTGCACTTTCCATATAGGTACAGTACCGTGCAGATGTTTTCGGACAAAACTCATTTGCTGTCTTAATTTACATTAGGGATACCATTGATGTTACATCAATTAATCAACACCTGACTTGTTTAATTGTTATTTTCTTAGGCCCACCACCGCAAATAATATAAATTATAGTTATTAGCAATTACCTCTTGTATTGTACATAGTTTCGAGTAACATTCTTTGTTTAAATCGTTTGAGAGGTAGGTTATAAGAAGGGAAAACTGAGAGTTCTAGGAAAGTATAAATGTAAAATTATCTACATTTCTCAAATCTATCGAAACAGGACTCTTGTGATACCTGAGTAGCCTGGTTGCTCAACAAACCTGAACATTTTGGTGTCCACACAAGACCCTCCGGTAGCCCTACGTGGATCCGTTCGGACTCAGATACTCTAGAGTCTAGAGCCTCAAATAAAAATAAAAATAAAACGGTCTCAAATCAAAAGCGTGGCAGACATTTTTTACACGTCGGAAATGATGATAAATAAGTTACATGCGATAAATGCTAAAGGCATGTATGTAATTTACACATTGTATCCGAAAATAGTTTCTTATGTATATACACAATGCAAACAGTACATATTGTTGTTTGTGTTTTATTTATATTCCTTTTTGTTTTATTTATTGTATTTTACTGTATTTTTCGTAGTGCATTTTATTTTATATTTTACATTAGTAAAATAATAATATAAATTCCACCTTCTTATTTAAAAATATCATTTAGTGTAAAATAAGAATTACGAACCCACGCGGTAAAGAGAGAAAAAAAGTAGGGGGTCCGTACGGACCCAGGCACGGCTACCAGCAGCCGCACGAATCGTCGGTTGTCGAAGGATTAATGATTTCAGAATACCATCGTAATGAAGTTTAGCGAGCGCTACTACTTTTAAGGGGTCAAATGCGAAATCATAACGATGTCTGAAAAATCACTGACAATTACACCTTACGGTGTGCTATCAGCGCGACGATATTATCGTTTATTGTTCGGGTTTCCGCTCAAAGGCTTTAATTTCAGGCTTCAAGGGG